CTCTGGACTGGATGATAGATCTCAGAAACCTTTATTAACAGTAGTGTAGGACTGGGAAACTGTCAGTCCATGCCTTAAAAGTCCTGGACCATGATGACAATTTTCACTGTGAGGTTAGTTAGGAAAAGCCATTGCTTGGTATTATTACATAGAAGGGGCCACTGATACTAAATTATGTGTGTGAGTTTGGAAAACAAAGAGCCGGATTAACTATGTCTAGTGAAGGAGCTGATTTCCACAATAATCAATAAAGACAGTAAACATGGAGGACCTAGATGACGGTAATAGTTAGCAATGGTCAGTCAAACTCATGGATTAATTTTCCCAGCGCTATGTGCTGAAGATGTGAATGGAGGTAAAACGTCAGGTCCACAGACGGCAAGGTGGTTTGGTGCTTATCCATGCTCCTCAGACAGGTCTGGACTATAGAAACTGGATAAGGACTGCAGCATTATGTGATGTAAGAGAGAGTCCTTCTAACCACAGTATGACCCTTCAGCATTGCCTGCTGCATCTGAACACACACTCACTATGGAGCACATTTCACCTGTTTTGGTCATCTCATAGCAATGAGCCTTGATATTATAGCAGTATCTGCAGTATAGATTGGAAAGAGGCAGAGGGAATTGAAGAAAAACTGCCTACTAATGGTAGCTCTCAGACAAGCTGCCATTTCTGTTTTATCCAAGTAGCAGTCCCTAGGCCTAGGGCTATACTGGGTTTTGGCAGCAGGCCTCTTTCAAGGCAGCTGTTTCAGAAATCCTTGCAGATTTCTTAGATTGCTCTCCATTCAAGTCAGCACAGCAGTACCCACTCCAGCTCTTCTCTTGTTCAAAATGATACAAAGATGCTCAGACCAGCAGAGATCAAAAAGGGTAACTGGCAGTGAGCACATTTTCCTGAGCTCTTGTGGAAGCACCACTACACCTGACAGTACTCCAAGCTACCACTCTCTGTCAAGGACCTGTTCATTTCCAGCCTTCTAGCTCAGTCCTCAACCCCCCTGATGCAGCAGCTTTGACAAGAGCCACTTATTCCTTAGGATTCAGCCAAATCCTGCTAGATGGCCCCATCCCCTGCTTGCCAGGGAGGCCCAATTTCTCAAGTTATAAAGGTACCTGAAGATCAGTTAGGCACTTCCACAAATTCTGCTAAGTTTTAGTGCAGGAGCAACACTGAACTCTTGATGAAATCAAGAAGAGCTAAGGACTTAACCTGAAGAGATATTTTTAGAGTAGAGATATCTTAAAAATATGTCTTGTCTGCATTTTCAGGAAACTAACTGCCTCTCAAGGTCTGCCTCCATGGTTTCTTTATCACTCCAGCAGTGCTCAGGATGTTAGGTAAGTGTTGCAGCATTTCCAGTGAAAAGAAAATTTGTGCAAATCATAATCAGGCCTGAGGAATCAAATTCTCCCTCCAGGTACATCAGTGTGACCCTGGCTCCAGGGGGACACCGCTCCAAGCATAAAATGGGGAGTTCTCTGACTTGTCAGGGTCAGGTTGGATTAGAAATTCAACTCAAGCCCCACACAGCTGCATTGTGATCGACAGAGGAATCCCTGCATACGTGTTCAGCTTTTAGGTTAGCTTTTATTGTTACTAATTTCCTTTTATAATCTCCATTTTGTGTTTATCAACATAGCACCAGATTCTCAGCTGATGTAAATCAGCAGTGATCCATTGCTCTTATGTGAGAGGCATTATTTTACAGAAGTTAAGGGGATGGCCCCTAGATATGAATTTCACTTTGCTCCTCTCTCTTAACAGGAATAATCTCTTTTAGAATTTGAGACAAAATAAAATTCACTGCTTCAATATCTTAGTTCTGTAATTCCCTCCTGGCCTCCACTCTCCCTGCTGCCAATGGAAATGAAGATTAGAGAGCACCTGGCAGGATCAGGCCCTCTGGAGGCTCAGTGGCTGTGCCAGCCCTCTAATTCTGGAGTAATGATAATCAGGCTTGCACCAAGTGTTGACACAAATTTATTAATGCAAGGTGCGGCTGGCTCTGCACTCACTCTGCTAAGACAAACACTTGCAGAACAATGTGCACAGAGGAGGTTGGAAACCACCCAGCCATGTGTCACCAGCAGCTGAAAGGGGAGGAAATTGCTCACTGTCCTGCGTGAGGAGGCAGAGTGCTGAAAATTGGGCTGGAGAAGCAAGTATCTAATTTTCTTGGGTTCAGTTTTCCTTTTGGAAAAACCTTTCCTGTTTCATCAGAAAGTCCCTGACCTCGCCACGGCCCCAGCAGCTCGTGACACAAGATCAAGATGACACAGTGGGAGCCAGGATTTGTGCCAGGGCTAGAAGTGATTTAATGATATTCCTAGAGAGCAGGGGGAGGCAGGCCCTGGTCCATGAGCTGGAGGTTATTTGTGCAGAGTCATATATTTAAAGCAGAAATCGTGTGAGTCCCAGAGTGGAAGGGAGGAAAGGGAAGGCTGCAGGAACCAGGTAGTTGGGCCTGCAGGGTGAACTGCTGGATGCTCTGGGGAGAAACCAGCAATGAGACTGGGACAAAGAAGAGCTTTAATTCTTACTTTGGATTAAAAAAAAAAAAATAAAAAAAAAGGTAACAAGTGACTACACTGTATTTATTTGCTACTCTGTAAACAGCGTTCAGTGACTCACTCCCTTTAGTGCTTTCCTTTATCAGTGGTGAAACTACTCTCTCTTGTGAGCAGCTTCTTTCCCTCCTTTTCCTTCAGACTGAGGATTTATATATGGCCATACCAGACAAGAGAAGACAGTGCAGGACATCTCACTGAGTTCATACCTCAGCTCTGGTTGAGTTATGGTTGGCAAAACTGCAGCTAGCTTGAATGTGTCTGTAGACTCTTCACTGTGCCCCTGCTTGCTTTCCTGCACAGCTGAGAGCACTTCGAAGCTGTGCTAACTCATGTCACTTGGAGTGATTTTCAAAGCCCACTTAACTTATCTGCCCTGTCATAGGTGTGACCAGCCTGGCACTAATCGTGATGTTCAAGAAATATCAGCCAGTTACACACAGTCCTCTAAATCAGTGAAGAGGAGAAACTTCTTTTCTCATTTTAAGTAGTTTCTATATGTCTAGAGATGTCTTACAGAAATGGAAATTATACCTGATAAAGTGCCAGCATTAATCCATTTGATGTATTTAAGTGCGCCTGTTTAACAGCAACATATCACGTTAATGTAATAATGATGGAATAAGAAATACCATCAGAGGGTTTCAGAAGATTTCTTATCACAAGGAAAAAAAAGGATTTTGACTTCTCATTTCATTTCTCTGTGAATGAAAACACCTTTGTGATTTACATTATTTACTGTTTACTGTAGTAGAGTCACTACTAAAAATCAAAGTGATTTGCAGAGCCCTGCCGGTTCTTTTTATATCTCCTTTGCTGACTCAATAAACATCTGACACTCCAGTACTGTAACTAAGTACTGTACTGATTCTGCCCTCATTGAAAACATCTTTCTCAGAGAAAGGAATTGTTCTGCTTCTGCTAAAAATGTGATTTGTCTGGCGAAGCATTTGTAAAAGCTTTTTACCCCCAATGTTACTGCAGCAATTGGAAGCAGTTAGGTATGTACATTAACTTGAGAAGCTATGTGAAATCTTCTGATATGCAAATATACTGCTGTATACATGGCAAAGAAGAGCTTTGAGCACGCTTACGTGAAACAGAGTTGTGTTAACAAACAATTCCCTTATATGCTATTTTGAAATAAAACTTTGTCCTGAAAAATGATGTGAAGTAAATATTTCAAAAAGCCTGTGCTGGTAGAGGACTGCTTCTGAATTCAGACCAGCTCTGCCCCAGGCTAGTGCTGTTTCTCCCAATACAGTCACCTTTAAATAAAATAGAGCAGGAATGAAGCCAAGGAGCCTGGGAAGGTGCAGCAAGGGAAAACACCCTGGTAGCAGCTGGCAAGGACAGGGCATATCACTTCTCAACCATCACCTAGCAGAATTGAACTGGATGGATACCCCTATGGAAAAAGGTGGCCTTCCAGTCTGAAGAGACATGTTACATCTGGTCTGTATCTGCTCTTGGATACAAATTCAGGCAGGGAAGAGACAATGGGAAACCAGAAAGAACAGCCTAACGCAACTCCACTATAGTGTTCTTGGATGCCAGCCACAGGCAAGTCTTCCAGGTAAGCACAGAACACAAAGGAATTTATGAGCACATAAATCATAGGAGCTGAAGATGGGAAAGGCCACTGGAGGACAAGTCAATGCAAGCCTGTTTTCTACAGGAAATTTCTCAGTTGACAGTTTTAAGTATTTCAAACAATAAGGCTTTAACTTTCCTCTGGAAGCAATTCAAGGTGGTTAGGCACCTATCTGAACCTTTCAGCATCTTGATACATTTCACGGGATTGGCCCTGTGCAGATTCCTAGCAGCTCTTGCTGCAGGTCATTACATTCAGATTTCTTTTTGCTGTTTATTCCAGGCTTATTCTGCAATGAAGCAAATCCAGAAGTGTAGGTAGTCACTTCAGGCCTGTATACACTGTGGATTTTCCCAGATTTCCTCCCAGGAAAACCAAGTCAACAGGAACAGTGGCTGTGTAAAGTTCCATGGGTGGACAATCTGGGTTTGTGTTACAGTGAACTGGGAAAATGCATTAATATTATGGAACAAGGAAGCCTGCATGCGCATTGTTGTGAGATAGCTGCAGTATGTTGCAGTTACACTCTACCATACAGCAGAATGTTCTCTGCATGGTCAGGTCCCTAAGATTTAAACCACTTCCACAAATTGCTTCTAGAAACTAGGCTGTATTTCAACGATGCAGATTATGTCTTCAGATAGCTTTGCTGGTTTGCACTAGGGCAGCCTGTGCATCAGCAGCTACTCCGTAACAGATTCCCAAAGATGTAAGAAAGAAAGGACGCACAGAAAGATTGAGGAAACCGCCTCTGCCCCTAGCATCTGAAAGTAAGGCTGCCAGAGCAGGAACAGAGACCTGCTTGTGCTTACACTCCACTCTATATTCTCTGTAGAGATGAACAGTCTGTTGGCATTTTGCAATGATTGCGAGGAACTTTAGTGGTTAATTATATCTCTTTCTTGCCTCGCTATCTCCATGCACATTCACAAGTCCTAAAAGTTTACTGTTCAAATGCCTAGGCTCTGGGCCAGGAGTAGTGCCTAGATAGAATACTGTGAAACATCTCCTCATGTGTCATGATAAAATGTTTGGGGACATAATATATATAAAACTATGAGTGTGTCCGCAAAGTCATGAAATATCATGTGATCAGTGCTGTGAGCACTGCAAGTTTGTGATGTCAGAGCAGTCTGACAGCCAAAGTAGGAGAGTAACAGATCTAAACAGCACCCAGCATTCAAGGACTGTGTCACCATTAGATGGTGGTACTTTTGAACCTGGTGTGTCAGGGGCTGCAAGGAGGTGGTTGGCCAAAATGTGCAGGTTTGTGCAGTGGGGGAAGTAGGAGAGTAACATAATGGTCACAAAAGAAGGAAAGGGTGAAAAGCAAGTGAGAGCAGAAGGCTCCCAATGCAGTGATGTGCTTAAAAATTTCCTCTTGCCCTGTGTTGGTCACTTGCTTTTGGTGTGTGAAAGGGGAAGCTGATGGTATGCCACTGTGGTGTGCCAGGTGAGTCAGGAAGAGGGGAGGACAGTGGTCTGGGGGTGGGTTATAGTTTAGCCACAGCTGGAGGAAGATGGTTTGTGTTGGCCTATGACTTATTTGAATTGATCACCACTTTTCACCATCCCTTTCACATCAGTCTCACCAACATTTAAATAAAAATGTTAATAAAATATAAAGAAGGACACTTTCTGCTGAGGTCCCTTGCCCTGGACTGACAGTCTGTGCATCCGTGCTCGTGCACAGCCTGTCCTCTCCATGTGTCTTTCCCTCCTGCGTTACAAAGGGATCCTTGCTTACAAGCAAAGATGCTCCTGGGGCCCAGCCACTGTGGCAACAACCTGGAACCCTGGCCAGGTGAGGGGAAAAGGGCAATATATTTAGCTAAGATAGAAAGCAGTAAACACATCCAATGTTGAAATGGAAGAAGAAAGGGGCTTACCTCCTAGCTTCCTCCTGGAATTCTCTGGTTAGGTCTTCCTCACCAGATAACCAACCAGTCCTAAAGTATTCTGCAGTCTTGACTAATCTAGGCAATCATAATAAAACATAGTTTAGTAGGAATGACCTATGACAAAACTCCCTCTCACCCATCAGAATTTGTCAGGTAGAACAAACCCTGCCACAGTCTGACTTCTTTCCTCACAAAGCACTTCAGCTCCAAGCTCTTGATTGAGAAGTACAAGGTGCCCTGACATGTTCCTTCTCTAACCATTCCTCAGCTGTGGATTTTTGCAATGATCGCCATATTGTAGTATTTCTTCAGGGCTTCCTGTCTCTCCCCAGGAATCAGGGACACGCAGGATCAGTGGTGGGGTGGTGCATCAGGTAGCACAGTCATGCCCACAGTGGAGACTTGCTGCCAGTTCCAGCAGTTCACAGTTGCAAACTAGCTGCACTTGAGTGCAAGCCTGCACTGAAACACAGACTTGGCCATCTGGCCAACATGATTGCAAATGGGTGGAGGACGCACAGGTACTGATCAGTTTTGGCATGACATGACACAGAGTGGGAGGGCAATTGGAGGCCACACACACCATCAGAGAAGCATTAATCTTTCTTGCTCACTGTGCACTATTAGTGAGCAGAGCACAGATTGCCTCCAATGTTAATACCCACTGGAAGTTGCGGTGTGTGGGTGCAAGGCATTTAGGTGAGAATATAGCTGGGCTGGCTGGGAGTCTTGTGTCAACAGGCTCTGGGAGTAATAGCAGGTGTGGGAGTTGGGAGGCATGGGTTTAATTTCTGTGAGGTTCCTGGGGCAAGGTCCTTTCTCTTGGCCTTTTACCCCGCTCCCTGGCACAAGGATGTCGCAAGTCCTTTGAAGCAGGGCCTGTCCCTTCAAATGGGTGTGGACACAGTAGGTTGAAGATCTGGTTTGGGTACCTTTATCTGCACACATGTAAAGTTGAACAATCATAGTGAGGTCCTCCCTTGCTTAATTGTCTACCTTTACTAAACCCTCTGCCTGTGTGTCTGTGTCACAGTGGTAAAGTGTGGCAGGAAAGGGTTAATTGGTTGGGGGGCAGGGGAGGTTTGCAGGCAGAAGGGAGGAGCAGGAGAGTATTTCTGTATTAACATGCAGCTGGTTAATGCAGCTGAATAGCCCTCACTCAGCTGTTACCTTTCTCAAAGCCAATGGCAAATGATGAAAAAACGTGGTAATATCTATTAAGTTTATGGAAGGGGCCTGCTCAGTGGGAGCTTTTCCATCTCACATACAAGTGGTGATTTAGAACAGAGAAAGATCCCCTCGAGGGGATTTTGTGAACCATGCAATGCTAATTAACTCCATTGTTGTATTTTATTTTGAACATAAGAGTCCCTCTGGGATTGCAGCACTCTTTCCTCCTGCAATAGATTCCCATTTTGCACCACTGTATAAAATCTCCTTCACAACCCATCAGAAAAAGGGATTAACAATAGGCAGAATCATATGTGTGTAGTTTTACAAGGTTCTAGGGAGGAATGTGTCTCCCTTCACCTCCCAGATGCTTTCTCATGGGGGCCATTCTGTACAACCTTGCTTTCACTGTTTCTTTAACCTTGAATTAAAAACAAGTGTACATCAGACACTAGGAAGCATCGCCCTTTGATCTTCAGCATATTCAAACCACTTCCAAACATGCTGTTCAGTGGAGTTTGTTTTAATGGTTGGGTTGTTTGGGCACAAATGCCAAAAAAAAAAAAAAAAAAAAAAACAAAACAAAACAAAACAACAAAAACCAACCAAAAAAAAAAAAAAAAAAAAAAAAAAAAACAAAAAAAAAACTAACACCCCAAAAAATCTACAAAAGCCATCAACACCAGGAGTGGAAGCACTGGTGAAAGACTTATTTACTCATCTACAGTTCATCCCAAAAGGAAATCAAGGGAATGAAAGCTCCCATCTGTTTGAAGCCCTTACTGTCTTGAGCCAACAATGTTAGGAAGAAACTTGAGTCCCTCTGTGCTAGATCTGCTCTTCATTTTCTGGAGTTCTGGTGTCCCACTTCATCTTGCCCAGACACCCTCCTCTCTGCTCTGACTATTACAACATAGCATCAACTTCATCAAAGTCAGAACAAGGACAAGAGCGAGGAGAAGCAGGTCTTTCAGGTAAATCAAATGGCTTCTTCTTAATTCTCCAACTTCAGCCTCTGGCCTCCATCAACTCTGAGAAAGCCCAGATTTCCATGTGGTGTCTTGGATATAACGTTTTCTCCACTGCCTTAAGTTTCAGCTCTGCACAAGTGAATATTTACAGAGTGTTGATGTCTGTCTTCCTGCGTTAGGCAATTTGGCTGTTTCATGGTAAGAAATATTTAGCAAGCTGTCTCAAGGGAGTGGCTAGTGTACTGGCATCAGATTGATGACTTCTGGACAGAACTGGAAGTGCATTGGGAGCTACCTGCCACCAGCTGTAATGGGGATTTTACATGAACTTGACAAACAGGAATAGAGATTTGCAAATAAGACACTTTCTCATGTACCTTATAACACTGTAAATTCTTAAGTCTTGATTCTTAATTCGTGCTGGAATACATTTAATTAGAATCTAGGAAATATTTGAGTTCTCTGAATGAACAACAGGAAAGACATTTAACAACATCTTTAGGAATGTCAATAACACAAGTAATAGAGGAGCCCAAGCAATGCTGCCTTGGCACTCAGGCCCCTGGGGGCATGACTCTGGCACCTCCAGGCCCCCACAGAACTGCTGCCCATCAGAGACACTGCCATCCATCAGAGACTCTGCCTCTGCCCCCGTCTTCACTCAGCTAAGCAGAATACTGGTTATATTAAACAACTTTGTCAGGAATTCAACGGGGATGCTCGTTGAGGCAACAGCCTCTGTGGCATTGCTACTAGACTGATGAAGTAAAATTTATCACGTAAACCTTCCCATTCTCCCCAGAACATCGCTCACTTACTGCAAACTCCCCTTTTCCTTTCCAAAAGGAGGAGAATCAATTCCAAAATATTTATACTGCCTCTACCCCACACCTTCCTGCACCACCACGTGGACTTTCCCTTGGAGTAGTGCATTCAGTGATCTCAGCAGAAGGTGTTCCTAAGACCGCTCTTGTTCAAATACTATGACATTATCTTATGCTGTAGGGTCTTGAGGGCTGTTACTACAAGAGTTGTTGTTGTCTATTACAACAGAGGTTTACAGAGCATACTAGCATATATAAAGCAACAAACTGAAAGGACATTCAGAGTAATTCTTTCTGAAAATCCTGCTAAATCTTTTCTGCCTGAGTGTTACAGGTCCATGTAAATACATCTCTTTTTTCTTTTCTTTGCAGTCCCTTTATAGCAAATGACAGAATTAAAAAGGTAAAACTCAACGGGAGGGACTTACCATTCTAAACCTCAGTGACCTCAACATCTCACATCTGTAACTCCATAGGTTCCCCAACTCAACATGCAGAGAGGGAAGGGTAAGATCCAGCCCATTTTTGAGAGGCATTTCCAGTACAGTGTTCTCAGCAGGAGTGCATTTGCCAAATCCTGATGCTTTTTTCACCCTTTAATATATATAGCTACAAGCGAAGATTTCTGTGAACAGAACAAGCCCACAAGTCATTTTTTCCAGTAATCTCTAAGCTCATCTTCCTTTAGTGCTTGCCGACCACTGGCTTGTTACCATGCGGGCATAGAGAGTCAGCAAAGGTCCTAATCACACCAGCCAGGATCACCCTCTTCGCCCCCGTGGAGCTCATCGCGTTAGTCCTTGATTGCACTGCTGCAGATAGCCATTGCCCTGAGCAGCTTGGACTCGTTTCTGAAAGCTGATAAATATTTTCCTGATGAGTGTGTGATGGGGAACACCAAATGCCACATGAGAAAGCAAGCCCTTTTATGGCTGCTGAGATCAGAGAGCCAAAGTGTAGTGAAGGTTTTCGGCAGCTACCGAGAACAGATTTTACTTGAAGCAGCTCCTGCTCCTGGTACCATGGAGGCACTGCTCCCTTCACCCCCTCTCTCCCGGGCTAAGTATAGAAGACACTTGAACTCCCAAAAGTTTCATTCCCACTCCAAGTTTCACAGTGTGGCTCTCGCTGAGAAATCTCATCTGCGTGCTCTGCCCAGAGAGGTTCCCACAACTCCTCAGGGACTCTGCAAGGGGCTGCACATCCCAGTGTGCAACCTGAAGCCAGGCCTGCCCATTGCTGGTTTTCTTGCTTCAGCAGCAACGTGGAGATACTTTTGTAGTTTCCATGATATAGATGTTTCATGCCAACATCCGTTTGTCCTCTGTGACCTATGACTTTCCACACCCTGTGTCGCGGTTTAGGCCTGGTTGACAGCCAACCACAATGCAGCACCTCTCTCTCCCTTCCCCTCTGGCAATGAGAAGGGACAGAGAGCCAGGCTTGGGGTTCGAGATAAGACTGGGATGGGGGAAAATTCCCCTTTATGATCACGAGCAAAAGGCAGACTCGTTAGAGGAAGAAAAAAAGAACATACATTTATTACAGACACTAACAATACATAACAGAGTAGGACAGTGAGAAGAATTGCCACATCTTGAGAACACCTTCCCCCCACCCCTCCCTTCTTCCCGGGCTCAGTTCTGCTCCCGATATCTCTATCTCCTCCCCCAGTGGCACAGGGGCAGGGAATGGGGGGTGCAGTCAGTGCTGCCACTTCTCTTATCTTCCGTGAGGGGAGTGTCTGAAACTTGTTCCTCCTGCTCCATCATGGTCCCCCTCTCACAGGAGACAGTCCTCCACAAATTTTCTCCAATATGAGTTCCTCCCATGGGCCGCACCGTTCCCCACACAGCTCCGTCATGGGTCACTAACTTTCTCCAACTGGATTCTCTCCCATGGCTGCAGCCCTTCCCGAGCTGCTCCGGCGTGGGACACCCCCGCATGCTGCAATCCTCCCAGCGCTGAATTACAGCAGTGGGGCTACCTTTTCCCATGAGACCCTGGCCTTCTTCGGGCACAGCACTTTGATTATTCCAAGCAGGAGCCACGGGCCATAAATCAATGTCTGCTCCACCGTAGATCTTCATGGGTGGCAGGGGGGCCGCCCTGCCGTCTCACCACAGGATACAGGGGGATCTCTGCTCTGGCACACCTCCCCCCTCCTTTCTTCCTCCGTTCCTCCACTGACCTTGGTGTTCACGCAGCCGCAGCAACTCCTCCTTACCAGTCCAACTGCACGTCACCACATCCCTTCTTAAATACGTTATCGCAGGGGCGCAGCTGATGGGCTCAATTTCCCAAACAGAAGTGGAGCTGATGTGGAGCTGGGGGAGCTTCGAGAAGCTTCTCATAGGGAGCTGCCCCGATAGCCCCCTCCCCTGCCACCAAAAAAACTCCACCACTCACTCAACCCAGGACACCCTGATAGAACAAGTGAGACGCAACTCTACTGCTACTTGAGTGGCTTTCATGTACTGTTAGGATGAGGCTGGAAGAGGGACAGAAGGAAGGGTGGGAGTTGCTTTCACAGCTGATGAGCTTTCTTCCAGCTGGTTTCTCAGCTTTGCATCACCACATGAACATTTTTCCTCATCGGACAGAAATGAATGGAAGGGTATCTAGCCCTGCTTATCACAGAGAGCACATGCTACTTGTAAATATTATTTTAGCGTGACCCTGCTCTTCCCTTTCTTGGCCTAATATTTGCAGTGGATAATTCCTAAAGCCTAAATAACATAAACTTGTGATTGAACATGCTTTTCCTAAGCTAAACTCCACCCTGTTCCAAAGTAATTGCTTCCTCTCAGTGCCCCTTGTTAAATCCTCAAGAAGGACAGTACAGAGGTTCAACCTCCAAGTTTTGCAGCCAAACCACAAAGCCCAGCGGTCACCCCCACATGTCTGGGGCCTCCTATATCACATGCCAATCCATCCCTCTTCCCTCCTCTGTCCCCCGCTCCACTCCACTGTCACAAGTCACGCCAGGACTTTTCCTGGAGAATAGGGGTCCCCTGCCTGGGGCTGGCAGCCACACAGAGCTCCTCCAGGTCAGGTCCCTTAACTGTCCAAAATCTGCCGCCCAGCTGCCATCCGCGTGACAGGAGGCAGAGGTGGGTATCATGCTGGGATGTATTTCAAAGACAAAGAACCCTTGTTTTAAGTCTGTGGCAATCTTTGTGCAATAACCTTTCTCCCAGAAGATTGGCAATAAAGTTTTTAAAATTAATTTGCATAATTAGATCTTTAATTCTTTTTAAATGGAAACCAAAATGGCACTGTTCTCAACAAAAAAAGACTTTCACAAAAGCCAAAGGATTGGTTGCAAGGTGGAGATGTGTCACTAAGCTGAAATTAAGCCCAGATAAAAGATAATTAGGCAGACTGAACCAAATTATGGTTGGGGATAGAGGGAAAAGTCTGAAGTAACAGCACAGACTTCAGTAAAGTTACTTTACGCTTGTGTCAGCATAACTGAGACTCAGTCTGCAGTAACTAACTTTTCATCTCTGTGATTAATTAGCAACCCTTTTAGTTTATGGCTCTTTTTTTATTAAAAAAAAAATAGATTAATAAACACAGCAGATATTTTTATAACAGCGAGTCAAACATTCCATTTATGTAAAAGACCAAGATACCATTTGAGTCAATCTGACTGTGATCATTTAATTCAGCGGAAATTTTGGCCCACTGAGATACTATTAGGAGAGCTGTCCATAGAAAACCAGACAGAGTTCAGCTAGTGAAAAACTGTTCTCATGTTCTTGTAAATCAGAATCAACATTTCTAAAGCAGTGCCATGTATTTTACCTCCTGCCCATCCCCAAATTACATGTGCGGCTTTATATGGTGTTTTTACCTTAAAATGAAAAAAGCAGTTTTAGTGGGTACAATCCACCACACTTGTTTGTAAGGAACTGTTTTTGTTGTTAAAAATATCCAAATGGCAAGGTACAAATATGTTCTACAAGAGAGCTAGATTGTCTCCCCCTGCTTTCAACAATTCATTCTCTAATCAAAGAAACTCCATCGGTGTCATCTACTTGCCAGCGTTGTTAGTTATCCAAAGCAGCCTGAATACCAGCTAGAGGCATATGGCCATAACCTCGTTAGACTTTGGTTTAAACCAGTAGTGAAATAGAAACACCAGAGTTGGGGCGAGCTGGCAGAGTACAAATAGATTTCTGCACCTTGTCAGTCCTCTTGGGTGCTCCATCACTGCTTGTGCCATGGAAACGCAGCCCAGGCAGCGGAAGCATGCAGGAAGCCCACAGTTAAATTCTGCTCATGGGTACCCCGGTATAAATTCAGAACAACGCCACTGGGCTTAACTGGGATTTTCACCTGGGCAACCAAAATTCCTGAAGAAGTAAGGCATGGCTGGGCTGTTGCGGACGCTGCCAGGAATAAAGCTGAGTGTAAAGGTTAGTTGCAAGTACTGTTGCTCAGATCAATTTTATGTAGTTTATAGTTCTCACAGATATCAGTATTGCCCATATTTTTATAGTTGTTCGTTTGGTTTTGGTTTTGTTTTTTTTTTTTTTTTGGTACTTTTTCAAGAATTCTTGTAAGAATAAAAACTGTATTGCTACAAAAAAAAAAAGCCCGTGAAATACGGTGAGAGCAACACATACCACATCATGGCACCAGGGATGTGATCTGTTTTAAGAAACACATGGCTTTATGTTTAATGAAGAGAGTCTGTTGAAGGATTGCAGACCAGGAGGGCACAGTAGATTTGTTGTTTTATTAGGTTCTGGGTTATGTACTTCTCCTTTTCCTTGGTATCTAGTAACATATGCCATTCCACTCATAACTGAATGAGCAGGTGGGAGGAGGCAGAAACAAAGCATTTATGAAGGACTGGAGCATTTTATTTTCTACCTTTTGAGAAAAGTGTTAAGGAAAAAAAAAAAAAAAGTGTCATTTTGTGTAATCTAGAAACAGAAACAGACGGAAAGAGAAATGGAATTTAAGTAGATGGAGGAGAATAATCATTCTCCACAGCACACAGAAGGAATTGTTAGAAATACATAAAATACACTCACCAATATCCAGTTCATTGAAATCATGCACTTAAGATGCAACAAAACCCCTCCAATATATCAGGGCCAGATCTTGAAAATACTTCACTGCCTGCAAGATGAATTGAATGTACTTTCTATCACACATGGGATAATTTGCACTTTATGGGGTCAGGAACTACATGGATATGATCAAGCTGTACTTTCAGGTACAGCTTTCCATGCTCCATCTTTGGAATTGCCTGGACCTAGTGGTTAAAGAGCAGTGCTGAGGCTGGTGTTTGCTGTCTCCCCTCGTCCAGCATAACCGTAGGCCACTGCCAGAAGGGTCAATGCCAAATTCTTCTCTAATCCTGTCTGTGTGCAGCAAGGTGTCCCCACCACTTAATTTTGGATTTTGTGATCCTCCATCCAGAACTGCTCTATTTCAAGTCCACCCAGGTTAATTTCTCAGAAAAGTCATTTCCACACACACCTCAGAAGCCCCTTGACATCAGGTTAGCAAGCTTTTCCAGCCTGCCTATGGCTGTACAAGAGCAAAATTCGAGGCAAATAGATGAACTGTAATCCATGGTCACGGTAGAGAGAAGGGCTGTATCACCTTTTCCAGCAGCAGCCTACATAGGTGTTACATGAGGCCACATGTCTAAAATGTGATCCAAAACACCCCTCAAGAAATCCAGGTCATCTGACGGTACACCATGGAGATGCCAGAATGATCCCATAGAAAATACAAGCAACAGAGGTGGTCTCCAAAATTCTTCCCTGCTCCCAAGCTTCAGCAGTGGAAAGGGCTGCAGGAAGGTTCACTTCTGCTTGTTTGAGTTTAACGGCCCCAGGCCAACTCCTGAAGAACACAGAAACCCCCCTTGCAACCTTTAATGCCTTCCACTGAAGACATTGATTCAAGACGTGGAGTGTTGGCTTCGACTGTGTTCTAACTCAGAAAGGAATTAGACCCGTGCCTCCTAGAAATTCAAGGAATAGGTGGGAGTGAGGACAGGGAATCCTCCTCTCAATAATCTAGTAGTGTGTTGTGATAGATGCAATATTCACAGGGTTGGAACTAAGCAGAAGGGAGCATTAATCCCCTGCTCCTCTCCTGGGTCGCTGGTTAGAGCAGTGAGTATAAGCCTGCTCTTCAGCTCTTCTCCACAAACAAGGGTCTGATAGCCTCTTCCGAGTACCACAGATTTCATGCATTTGGCACTCCAGTGATAGCAAAGCACTTAACAATGGCACAATTTCACCTAGTAATGGTTTCATTAGAGTACTTTAAGCCTGCTACACAATGAAATCATCATTACAATACTCTGGTTCCATGACACCATCCCCTCAGGTGGCAACTCTGCATACTTTCCACACTCTCCTCAAGCCCCTCAGAGACCACTTTTTGAAGAGTTTGGTATTTTTTCACAGGCTCCAGGATATTAGCA